GATCCATGCAGCGTAGGAGGAGACTGTAAAGGAAGGAGACTACTGACCCTGTACCTAAGCCAAGAGTGCAGCACACTGACCAGGGTGTGTAGCCACCCTGAACCTCCAGTGAAGAGTCTACTCGTATGTAAAGATCGCAATTCAAGGAGAATGGGAACATGGAATAGATTGAAACCCAACTCAAAAATCTTGCCCAGCGAGTCTGTCTTTATTCAATGTGTTTGTTTAGTTTAATTGAACAGGAGATTGTAAAAGACGGTTTATTCCTGAAAGCAGCTCAGACCTATTTGTTTGCCGACTCTCCTGAAACAGACCTACCAGTGGGAAAGGTTTTCCTAAAGATTCTTTTCAAAACAGAGTGCTTTAAACTAAATATTCAATACAGATCCTTATTTCCAAGCTAGAGGAAGTCGAGGACCTGACTAGAGAAGTGAATCAGATGGCTTTCAATTTGTGCACGGAATGTATGTTGTCAAGATCTGAAGGTAAGAACAAATTGAAGTGCAAAACTTTCTGCCTAAATGAAAAAGTATTAATCAAATGGCATTAGATGTATCTTAAATTTACAAATCCTTAGAAATTCTGTTACAAATCCCAAGCTATTTAATTTTTGTAACACCATAGTCAGAAAAACCTCAGCTTTTAACCTATAAACTTCATGATCCATACTCATTTTACCCCTTAGATGCTGATCTTATAAAACGTAATCTATAGTGTAGCCTACTAACACTCTCTAAAAATGTGCAAGCCCTCTTCACAGCACCTTTTAAAGACAAAGCTCCCAATAAAACCCGCCTCCAAAGAATCACACCTGCAAGCATCCTCAATCTCTGTTTAAACATCTCTCTATTTGGGGTCCCATGTAAATAACAGTACATTCCTAAGAAAATTGTTCGTCTTTACTCCAGGTTCTGTTCTGATCTCAGGCATTTTCTTTACAAGGGAAGAGATTCAGGAGGTCACCCCTCCAAGGTGGGATATCTATGGGACCCTCCCTCTGGTTGCTGGCAATCCTGCAAAACATGGGTGCCTCTGCCCAGCACCCCAGCTGCTTACTCTGGTTCTCACTCCCTCCCCTCCCTTCCGTTCCTCCTGCTCTAACATGAGGAAGAGCCTGTTTTCCCTGCAGCCCCTCTTGCCAGGAGACATCAGAAACCTGATGGACATTTGGGGAAGACATATGGCACAGTACCCTGAAAGGAAAGACCAGATTCTAAGCTCTTAGGACCCTCATGGTTCATTATCAGTCGGTCTGGTGCCTCGTTTCTGCTTCGATCGGTAAAAGGTCTGGACAAGTGCCTATTTCCCTGCCTTTATAGCATCCCAACTCACCCTCTTGCTTCTCTTCTTTAGCAATAAAGCCTTCTCTTCTTGTTTAGCAATAAAATAATGATATAGCCACACTTGGGGAATGATGCTTGGAACTATACGAACTAACACATCCACCCCTGCACGCCAAGCTCCCCAGCCACCTAAGCTCACTTCTTTCCACCCATCATCATACACGTTTACTCAATGTTTTTGTCTCCTCATCTCCCCAGGACTATAAGCTCCCCAAAGGCAGGGATTTTGTCTTTCAGGGCTGTGTCCCCAGGCAGTAGCACACAGCCATTGTAGGTATTCTATAAATATTTATTGAATGCATAAATGTGCTTAGATCGAAAGATATAAACAAAGAGAATGACAAACAAATATCCATAAAAAAAACTTTTCTAAGACTTTGTCATCTAACCATGTGATAAGTATCCTACAAAGGGTTATGGAATAACCCAAGGGGTGTTAAAACTGTCAAGGGCATTGTGACCTTGTCTTCCATCTTAGTAAGAAAAGCCTATTTTTGCTTTCAGATAGATACAGCAACCTGACATTCTTTGTGGGGATTTTTTATTTTTTAAAGAAATAATCTGTTAGGCAAGTATGTCAAACCTTCTTATTTAAAGCATATAAAATTCTGAACTCATATCATCAAACTCGATGTTTTCCTTTTTTGTATGCCTCGACCACCAACAACTTGATATCCCTCTCAGAGTAATTCAGTTATCTTTTTGGAAAAGTCACCTTCACCAAAGATCTATATGAATAACACATATGCCTTTTTAAGCAGTAGCCTTTTAAATATAGACTACAGGATCACATGGTAGTTTCTAAAATCTTCTAAACTAGTTAGAAAGTTTGTTTCTCTAAAACAGTGAAAGAAGAGGGAATGGGAAGAGAATGGGTTGTAACCTCATTTACTCTTCCAGTAAGACTCACTTTTTATAATTTTAGTTCTTCATATGTTGTGAATGTCCCAGCAAAGGGTTTCATTTACTCAGGATCAGGGAATCCCTTGTTAAATCAAAAGCTGATGAATGCATTCTCAAGGCAGATCAGTTCAAATTTGCCAACCTATAGCAGCGATAACTCTGCTCTAGATTTGATTTTGTTTGCTAAATATGAGTCACGTTATTGGAGTGGAGTGGAGTCACATTATTGGTACTGGTCCTCAGGCTTATTTCTGCTCACTGATGAGTTTTGATTACAAGACTTAATGACATCCACACTCCGACAGATGGAAAAAACCCCCTGCATATGCAGAACCCCACTTGTCCCAGTGTTCTGCTCCTTCTGCCTGGAATTCCAACTTTCCTTTGACCAGCCAGGCACCATCAGGTCACCTTCCCCTTTAAGCTTCAGTAACACTTTCAACTAATCTCCCTCCAACACCTATCACAGAGTTTTGCAATCAGTGGTTTACACCTGGGACCATTGCTAGCCCATATGGCACCTCTGTGTAAATTAGAAAAAAACACCCCTTCCTATGGGTGAGTCAGAGGAAGCTGAGATAACACCAACTATTTATTTTTATAGAGTTTAGGGAGGAAATTAAGGCAGGCCAGGACGCTCATCTTCTTCCCTCCCCCCAGGCCCACACTCCACCATGAAACAAGAGAGGGATTTGCCACCCACAAAAATTGTTGCTGTTTAGTTTAGTTGCTAGATGTATCTTGTTAACAGTCGTGAGAGTTTTCCTGTCAAGATCAATCTCTTCCAGAATAAATGGAACCAGGTCAACATTTTGTATGAGAAAAGTTTTTTTTTAGAGACAAAGCACTTGATCTTCAAATGCATGCTTTGCAGATTATCTGCCATTCAGTCATCTCTTACATTTTTAGAGGTGACCTTATATTCTGGGTTTTCAATGAGAACAAAAGGAATAAACACAGTGGTACTTTCTTCTTGTGCCCAAGACCACTCCAGCAATAATCTAGGTCATTTCTCCCTCCTGCATGCTCTTTTGGGTAGGAGGGCACCAGTGGAGGGGAGAGGAAAGGAAGAGAGGGGTGAGAGGGAGGTGAGACGCGGTTGCTAGTAGGACCTCAGCAATATCCTGGTGAACACAATCTGGCTGCACTGGGTACTGGGTGCTTTTCTCCCTGGTCTTGACCAACAAGATGAGAGAGTGCATACTGCCTCTCTTGAGGGTCTCTCTGTAGGCCAAAGGCTCCTCATCATGAGGGTGGAGCTATGCAGGCCCTATTTCTCCTCCACTCCTATTCTCTCAACCATGCTCTGAGCACTTTGATGATATACACTGATGTGTGTGGCTAGGAGTGCCTGTTTCAGGGTGTCTTGGATTTTCAACCTGAAGGGGCCCTAGATATAATCTACATCAGTGATTTTTAAACTTCACCACATAGTAGGGAAAAAAAAAACCATTTCATATTATAACCCTATGTAACTACATAAACATAGATTTACCTGAGATGAAAGCTTTTGGAAACAATAAGTCATACAACATGTAATGCACTCTAACATTTTCTATTCTATTCTTTTATTTTGAATGCTGATCACAACTCACTAAATTGGTTCCCATGATTCACTAATGGGTCGAGGCCTACAGTTTGAGACTCACTGATCTATTTTAATCCTCTTATGTTCTAGACCAGGAAACCAAAGTCAAGAAAGGTTAAGTGATCTGGCCAAGGTCACAAGCTACTGCCTGGTGGCAGAGCCCAGACTAAAACCCTGCTAGCCAAATCATATAACTTAGCTAATTATTAATAATAAACACTCTTGTTGCAAAACAATGTGCCAGGACTGTGAACAGTGCATGCTGTTACTAAAACACAGTGTTTTTTGAATGGTAGAAAAATTAAAGTCACCCAAAGAAGAATTAAGTAGAATGTCATCTCCCAAATCCTGACATACATATCATTTTCAGTTCCAAATTCCAGTGTCTGGAGGGCTAAGTTCATATATATATATATATATATACACACATACACACACACACACAAACACACACATATACAAAATGTTTGTTTTACGAATGTTTTAAGTTACATCTGTAATTTGGCTCCGATTTGCTGGCTCACGTAAACTTCTCTTTACTGACATCTCTAATGCAATAGAAAAAAACCCTGAGCAACCAGTCTTTCCAAAGATCTTTAATTAAGCCTACTTGCTCAAGGAAGGGCCGGTGGGCACCTCTGTGATCAAACGGGGCCTCTCAGTTTTACACTAGAGGACTCTCTCAAGGTATGAATAAGAAGTGGGGTGCATCTGAGATAAAATGCCAGGTAGCAGTAGTGCCAGTCTAGAACACCCTCTGCAAAGCCCAACAACCCCACAGCCCATCATCCTTGGACGGTTCCCCCTCAAAACCTGCACCCATACTCACTGCAGTTGACTCTGACCTGCCTACCTCTATAAGAGTATTATTTTCATTAAGATAAGTTAGTCTTAAAAATGTAGCCTTAAATTTCAGCATACTCCCTGTCAATAAAAGCATGGGTGCCTTCCTGTTCCACCTATTTTTATCCTGTTAAAAAAAAAAAAAATCTGTTCCAGCCAAAGCAAATATCATCTCTCCCTCTCCCTCCCTCCTTCCCTCCCTCCCTCCCTCTCTCGCCAGCAGCAAGGCGGGTTGCAAACCTATGCAGGATATGGAACTGAGGCTGCGGTGTGCCTGATTTTGCCTGTTGTGTTATTATTATTTTTTTTCATTGATATGATACCTTTTCACCAGTTCATGTGTCAGCTGATGAAAGCAGCTATGACCTTTTACAACAATTGGCCTCTGTCTTTGCGTTGGCTCTCTCCGCTTTGCTGAGACTCACGAAGATCACCTTAGGGGCACCTTCCGACCTATTCCTGTGAAATGGCAACAGAACAGAAAATGACACAGAAATAAAGAGACAACATTTGTGGATACACTGAGGGGTAGATATTGGGACTTTTAGTTTGTGAATGTGAAAATGTCACAGGTCGTTTCTGAGCATATTTCAGCTGGAGGCAAAAAATGCTTTGGGGTAAACATATGGACCACATGTGCAGAAGCTCGGAAAATTAGGTATGAAAATCATATATACAGAATTGCCACAAGAATTCCTGCTGTGATCATTATGAAATCGTCTCGGAGTGCGGGTTTCTGGCTCACTTACAAACTCGGCAATTCCTTTCCGGAAAACCCCCAGGCAGGATCACCTCCCCCTCCCCTAGGTCAATAACCATCCTAACTGCTAGGACAGCTCCTTTGGGGGAGATAGGAAGAACAGATCACATAATTTTTCATTATAACCTTTAAAAGTCTATTTTAAAAATTGGTATATTTCTGTACTTTCTAAAGACAGATATCTTAAATAGTGCCTGACCGTGTTTGTTTTGGCAGACACATGGGTGACTCTTGCAATGGCAGACGTCCATATCCGTATTTATGGCAAATATGTCAGAATTTAATCCATCCCAGTGTCTGTGAAGGAGTCAACGGTTACAAGTTATCATTTCCCTGTCAGTATATTGCTTTACTACTTTTCAAGGACTCACATAGAAATTATCATGAAGTGGACAATAATTGATCCTCAGAAGAAAATAGAATACCCAGTCTTATAGCTGGGTGAAGAGTGGTCTATTCAATATTTGTTTCATTTCTCATCTCCTCTTTGAGTGGTGCAAGGTAGCACCCACAGCTCAATATTACCAAGGAGGTGGCATTTCACAGGAATGACTTCTACCATGGAGGGGAGAGAAGGGGTCCATAAGCTAGATTTCCTGCTGATGACATCAGCAACTCAGTGACATTTAAAAAAAAAATCAAGTACCATTTCCAAAAGGGACAGGTACCTTTGAAGAAATAATATTGCCTGTATTGTGACTTTCCTGCTTCAGTTCATCCCCAACAGACAGGTACGTTGATGAACCTGTATCCATAATGTGAGCAATATCCTTCCTCTAATATCATTCCCAGGTGAAATGAAATGAACCAGCGAGAGCACAACGATCTCTTTGATTTTAATAATCAACAATTCTCCCCAAAACAGACTTGTGGCGGTTGTTATTCCAGCAAATTGGCCCTTTAAAAATGGACTGTGTCCAAAAAATTCACTTGTATATTTGGAATATAGAGTGTCAAGTACATGTTCCTATATGTGCAGTATTATAAATGGTGGGGTCTCAGAGCACCCCGTAGACATCTATTTCATTTATATCTTGCTGATGGTGTGTGGGAGATAAAGAAGAATGTAAGAGTCAAAGGATAGGAGTTGGCCTTGGGAAGACGACCTGTGGCACAAGATCCAAAAACAATCTCCTTATCTTTTGTGTCACTTCCAGAAAGAAGGAGGGAGGGAAAGAAGGAGGGAGGGATGGAAGGAGGGAGGGAGAGAAGAAGGGAGGGAAAGAAGGAGGGAGGGAAGGAAGGAGGGAGGGAAGGAAGGAGGGAGGGAAGGAAGGAGGGATGGAGAGAAGGAGGGAGGGAAGGAAGGAGGGAGGGAAGGAAGGAGGGAGGGAAGGAAGGAGGGAGGGAAGGAAGGAGGGAGGGAAGGAGGAGGAGGGAGGAGAGAGAGGGAGGAAGGAGGAGGATAGAAGGAGGGAGGGAGAGAGAAGGGGAAGGAGGAGGAGGAAGGAAGAGGAGGACAGAAGAGGGAGGGAAGGAAGGAGGGAGGGAAGGAAGGAGGGAGGGAGGGAAGGAAGGAGGGAAGGAAGGAGGGAGGGAAGGAAGGAAGGAAGGAAAGGGAGGGACCAACCACATCAGCCACAGTCCAACCAGGAAACGAAAACCACTCTGAGTGTTTTGGTTTCTCAGGAGACAACACAACTGAGCAGTATTAGGAGAGGACGAGGCAACCCAGAGATGAGCAAGAACAGGAAGCAGGAACAGGAAGTGGAGAATGGGAAGAGGAAGCAGTGCTACCAGAATCCAGAAGCCAGGTCACCCTGTGGAGGCTGGAACCAAAGGGGCCTGTCCAGTGGGGGCACGAGCCATGGAGGAGCTGCCATAGGTGCCGACCAAACAGGGCAGGACAGGGAGGAACACTGAGGCTTCTCTGCCTCCCGCCATGCAGTTCTCATGGGTGCCTTCCATTGGCCAAACCCGGCCAGAAGCCAGCTGACCCAGGACCCTAAGAAACAGCCCACAGTGGGCAGCCTCCCACCATACAGAGCAGAGCTGGGAAGGGAAGGAACGGAAACTTCCAGGCCTGGCCCGCCAGGTAACTAGCCAAAAAGAAGGGGGGAAAAATACCTAATCTCAATCCTTAGCAAGTTCTACAAGAAGGGTTTGCCTATTAGCTCTGAGAACAGGGCTGTTCACAGTCTACATGAAAAGTCAGGCTATGATAACTCCACTCGTCCACAAGATGAGAGATGCCACAAGGTAAACCATGACACCTGCCAAATGGATGCTCCAGTGACAGGAGAGACAGTGTAGCCGGGAATGGGTGTGGGGACTAGAGAGAAGGAAGGTCAGGATGAAAGCAAGGCTCCTGCGGCCCAAGGGAACAGGAGGTGACAGAACCCATGTCAGAGGGAGCAGAGGGGGGAGCGTGGTAGGAGTGAGCAGAGCAGGAGCGGGCACTCTGTGCGGAGACACACAGGCATTGTACCTGGTCAAACACGAGGTCATCCCAGTCAAAAGATAACTGAATGGGAGACAGGAGCAATATGAGTGACTGATAGAGGCAAGAAGCCAGACTGCGGAGCACTTAATGAGTAGGTGCAGTCTCGCTGTAAAGTGTGACAGTGGATGGAAAGAGTAAAACAAGCTTGCAGGGTGGCGGGTTTCCACCAAGGGTCTGGTTTTGAAAACAGAAGGAAAAGGAGGTAAAAGATAAGACCAAAGGCCGAGAACCTATGGGCTCGGTTGCCTATCAGTCTTGCTCACAGCCTCAAGCCACCAGAGGGAGGGATTTGCACCACACGTGTCTTAGTTTTCCCTGGGCCTTGAAGAGTGCCTGGCCCTACGGAGATGCTCGATGCATAGTTGTGAAATGAATGAATGAGCCGAAGTGAAACCGCAGTAGGTGGAGAGAGCGGAGGAAGCAGGCAGAGCCCATGGAGGACACGCTGAAGCGATGTGACAGCGCGGTGGCCCGCTGGAAAACCCCAGCGGCAGCCAGCGCCGTGTGGGCAGCTGCAGTCAGAAAATGAGATGGTTCTTTCTGAGCAAATGTGTGGTCATAAATAGCACAGGCCCATGCAAATGGCCACAGCTGCACAGTGAAGGGCTGGAGTAGGTGCTCGGCGCAGAGCACCTTCCTGGCCACCACATTCTCCCAAGCCATCTCCCTGCCGACAGGTGCGCAGGGCCGCTGCCCAGAGGGGACACCCACCAGGTGTCATGGTTCTGCGAGGCTGCTCCTTAGGGGTTTTCCCTAAAGAGTCTTATGTTTCAAATATTACTCACCTGTAAAAATGTCCCGACCGCTGAGCTGGTTTCACAAGGGCATGAAGAAATGGCCGCTATGTAAAATTGTTAGGTAATGTATAACATCTTTAATGGAGGAATTTTTAGTGTGACCTTCTATCTTTAAATATACCAAACCTTCTTCCTCCTCTAGCATGGTGCCTTCACAGAGAAAACAGCAGTAGATAATTTGTGTTGCCTCCTTAGAAACTCTTACCAGGGGCCAGGACGTAAGTGAGGCCCTAACAAATCCAGTAAGAAGACAGTGCTACTTATTAGCATTTTGAGAGGGGGAAAAAAACCCCACATCTTGTTCATATTTGTCTCAAGTTTCCTTTCCTGTCCCGAGAATCTAGCCCAGTGTCTGTGTTAATATTTGTCAATCTCAATATTTGTTGAGAGAAATAGTCCCATTGAAAAATTTTAACAATGCTCTAAATAAAATACTAAAATAAATTTTAAAATGCAGGGTGCAGTTAGTTATAATAACAATACTAACAACAACAACAGCTACTAGTATTAAAAATGTGTGGAACGTGAACTAAGTTCCAGGAACGTGCTAAACTACACAACAGGGGTACAGACCCTCGCACACCCCGTGTTAATTCACAGTCCACACTCAGGAAACTGCTGTTTGGTGTAATCAAAACTTCAATGTTATTTTTTTTCATGTACTCTCCACCTTCTTCCAAAAAAGATTCGAAGAAATCTGTAAGAATACATACATCAAAATAAGATTTTTTAAGTATACAAGGAGAGTATGCCTAATCTGAAAATCAAAAATGTGAAATTTTTTGAGCACCAACATAATGACACAAGTGGAAAATTTCACACCTGACCTCATGTGATAAGTCGCAGTCAAAATGCAGTCAAAACTTTGTTTCATGCATAAAATTATTTAAACTATTGTATACAATTACCTTCAGGCTATATGTATAAGGTGTATATTAAATATAAATAAATTTTGTGTTTACGCTTGGATTGTGTCCCCAAGATATCTCATTATGTAATGCAAATATTCCAAAATTCATTTAAAAATCTGAATTCAAAACACTGGTCCCAAGCATTTTGAATAAGGGGTACTCAATCTGTATTAGTTTCCTGGGGCTGCCATGGCAAAGTACCACAGCTGGGGGACTTAACAACAGAAATGAATTATCTCATACTTCTAGAGGCCAGATGTCCAAGGTCAAGGTTCTGGCAGGGTTGGTTCCTTCCAGAGGCACTAAGGAAGGATCTGCTCCAAACCTCTTTCCTTGCTTTTGGTAGTTCCTTGACTTACAAAGCATAACTCCAGTCTTCATGTGGCATTCTCCCTGTGAGCATGTCTGTGTCCAGATTTCCCCTTTTTATAAGGACACCAGTCATATTGGATTAGGGGCCCACCCACCTCCAGTATGACCTCATCTCAATTCCCTCTCTGAAGACCCTATTTCCAAATAAGGTCACATTCTGAGGCATTGGGGTTAGG